GGTAGGGAGAAGCTTTTTATAGAGGTGGATAAGGCATCTCTGAGCTTGGAATATACCTAGAAGAGAAACCATTCTGCCAAGAGCAAGGCATCACTGATATTACGAGATTCCTCCATGGACAAAACTGTGTAAAAGAAATGATATTGTGTGTGTAGTTACATATGCACACATACACATGCACACATATCTTTGTCTCTTTTCTCAACTTTGCAAAAGCAGTATATTTGCAGACCCAATCTAAATCTTTCCCAGTCTGCATTCTTGTTTACCCTGTTGTTCTACTTTTCCTAGATGCCAGCTTGGGTTTTCCTCCCATCTACACTTTCTCCTTCTCTGGACATATTTGGGGGAAAACTCAGTAGAGCAATGGGCTGCCCATTTTCTGTCCAGTAAAATGAAGCAACATTTTAAAACTCAGCCACAAATGTCTGTTTAATAATTCTTGATGGCTTCCCTGGGACTGAATTTTAATATTTCTCAATATCCAATGCCTGGAAGCTAGCACAGAGTGGATATCTCAAACTGCCAGAAATTGACTTCCTGTGGTTTTGAATGTGAAAGCGGGAACATGATTTGGGGGCAGTCTTCATTTCTCCTTTTGAGAGGTGTCGCTTTGGTGGGCCCTCTCTGTCATGGTTGCTTATTTTAAATAACTACTCCCTGCCCTTGAGGTAGCCTGAGACTTAATAGAAATAATCTAAAAGCAAATACTCTATAATGGAATATTAAGTATTCTGTTTAATTATATAAAAGCTGTCCCAAGATGTCCTGTGCGGAACATCTTTACAGATTTTTTTTCTCCTTTAATGAAATGGCTAGCATGTCCCCAGGCAGGACTGAAAACAGGATTTGAGCATAGTGATGGGTTCTGGGACAGAAGGAGCCAAGATACAGGAGAAGAGTTCACTCTGGAGGATAAGTTTGAGCGCGTCAATTCTGACAGTCAGCCTGGTGTTTGATGTCTATTTCCAGGAAAGATAAGACTTGCCATCGAGCCATTATTTAATTAGTTTACCAATGTCCTTGGTTGTTCTCTATGAACTGTTAAATATTTTAAAATTTCATTTCTAAATGACACATACTAACCGTATATAACTATGGAGTACAGCGTGATGTTTTATATAATGATCAAATCAAAGTAATGAGCGTATCCGTGGCCTGAAACATTTGGCATTACTTTGTGTTGAGAACATGCAAGATCCTCTCTGCTCGCTGTTTTGAAATACACATTATTGTAAACTGTAGTCACCCTACTGTGCTATAGAGCACCAGAACGTATTCCTCCCCTCTAACTCTAACTGAACCTGTTGGCCAAGCTCTCCTCATCCTTCCTCACCCCACCCTCCCCAGCTGGAAAGTTTCCGCTGCAGTTCTGCAGTGAATCGGGGCAATAGCTTTTCCATTTTGATGCAAACTTCAAGCTTTGCCTTTTTCATTATGACTTCAGGAGCAGCTGATTCTGATCAGTTCCAGCTTCCTGGAAGGAATTCAGACACAAATTTCACTAGTCAAAACTCTGTTGCAAGTGACAGGAACCCCAAAGCATAACTAGCAGTTTAGAAGGTAGCACCTTTATTTCCTCAGCTTCTCATAATGAAGAAAGATTTTCTTTACATGGTAGGTTCAGTATCACTTGACTTCATGGCCTCGTAGCTTTTTTACTCCAGGGGTTCTAAATAGAAATATGCATGGAAGAAATTTCAGTGGAAATTATATCTCCCATCCATTCAGTCATTATGAAAAAAGGAGAATTATTATTGGTCTGACTTGGGTCATCTGCTCACTTCTATGGCCAGAAATGTGAATTACTGTAGCATTTGGGCCCTTGCCATTTCAGAGTATACACGCCTGCTTTTCAACCGCCAGCTCTTACAACTCAGGCCAAGGATGCTTTTTGACTCTCAGGGATCAAACTGCCTGTAGACAGCAGGTTGCAAGTGCTGAGGAACTGATATCTCCTTGCAGCAGCCATCCATCAATGAGTAATGGGAACTGGTATGAAAATCCAAAGGGTCTCCATTCTTGTGGATGATATCATTTCAAGGCATGCATTCAGCATCATGTACCAGAGTGGGATTCAACTCCAGTTCACTACAGTTGCACGTGCTTGGCATCACACTGTATTTGCTTCTTTTTCTTCCCTGTCTTATTCTCCCACCCTTTAGCTGTATTTCTTAAGACCATTTCCCAAATATGCTTACACTTGAGACCTTATCTTAGTGATTTCTGAGAAAACACAAACTGAGAAAGTTATGATTGGCAGCTTGTCACATGACTCAAATGGAGATAAAGCAGTATATTAAAGGAGTTGATTGTTCTGAACATACAGAAACAGTAGTTACCCATTGAAAACTTTACCACACACACAAAACAAGCATACATAGAACAGTGAGAACTTATAATAAACTACTTCCCAGTGGACCAACATTTGGACAGAAATTTTCCTGCCTTGACATTCCCAAAGGAAGCAGACAAAACCCCCAGCAGGTTGGCTCTGATGAGGAAATGTCAAACCATCCCACAGTGAAAACCACACTTTTCTGCCACTATGTTAATCTGAGGCCTCTGCTGCCCCAGGTGAATGTCAGCCAAAAAGCCATCGTGGCAGAAGGGTGCTTTCACTCCTTTGGATGGCAGCCTGAGTTGGATTAGTTGGGTTATACTTGGTGATGTTTCTTTTAGTCACGTGGGTTTGTGTGATGGCCTCGGCACGCGCAGTGGCAGAGATACACTGCCGGTATTTGTGCACTGGCTGGGGCATCCCTTCCCCTTTCCATTTGGTTTCACTGGTTTTTAAAGCCATAGATATTCCAGGTATGTTAGGGGTTGAGTGGTCTAGAAGCAGAGCCTGAGATAGGGTTTCGGGTGCATGTGACTCTGAGGGAGTGATTTTCACATACACATAAACCTCTAAAGTTTAAGGGGGAATACAATAGGGATGATGAAGGAGCCAGTCAAGGATGGCGGTCTCAGGGGTGATCAAATGATAGCTCTTGGAACAAATCTGGAGCCACTTGATTTTGCAAATAAAGTTTTATTGAAACACAGTTATGACTGTTTATATATTATCTAGGGCTGCTTTCAGACTACAGTGGTGGATTAGTTACAGTATAGGCCGAATGGCCTGCAAAGCCTAAAATATTCATTACCTGACCCTTTGCAAAACAAGTTTGACAACCCCAGCCCTAAACTTCACCCAATTCTGAATAGTGAGATTCAGAGCATCCATTGCTCCATACAGTTGTCTCCACTTTGAGGCAAGTGGCTGGTCTTGGCACCTTAGTGCTAACCATGCATTGGTTGCCAGCCACTCCAAGTATTGAGAGTGCGATGCATGAAGTGCATTAAGCCTGAGTTGATGGCCCTATCAGCTGAGAGCAGTTCTCTGGATACCAGGGGCAGCTGTAAGCTTTCAACAGTTGACAGTCACAACAGTGGGGAAATGGGTGGGTGCACAAGCTGGATAGGGGGCTTTTCAAGGGGCCTCCAGCATGGAATGTAATGTGTATCTGGATTGATGCCAGTGCTTCATGAAGCTGGAGAGAACACAGATTTCTTGACTGAAACTGAACCATCATCGTCTCACCTGTATGCCTGTCTCCAATTTCATCTTGGCCACGTTTTGCTCTCTGGATAAAGATGGGCCCCTTAACAAGCCCTCCCAAGTCCTGCCAGCCTTCCAGGGCAACTTTGTCCAACTTTCTTCTCTTGCATTCTCAGTGAAGCACGGCCAGGTGCGACTCTCTCGGTTCTGAGCATACCAGTTTCCCTCCAGCTGCAAGGCGCAGGCTGACTTTTCTGCCCAAATAGCCGTCTGGTTCCTTTTCTCTCCCACCACATGGAACTAGCATTCTGTTCTTCCTCTGCATCTCATCTCAAAGGATATTTCCTCAAATGAACCTTCTGCAATCACTTTTCCCATGAATCCCCTTCCCCTCTATCAGCCAATATGCATTATGTGTGCTTTTATATATTTTATATGTCTTATGCAAACCATAGCATACAAAATAGGCATAGACTTTTTTTTTTTTTTTTTTGGTACTGGGGATCGAACTCGGGTCCTTGCGCTTGCACAGCAGTCAGCAAAACCACTGAGCTAAATCCCCGGCCCAGACTTTTTTCCTTTAAGAAAAATGCTATATTATTTGTATTACTTTGAAACTTGCTTCCCCCATTTAACAATAGAAGCCACACGAAAATCTCCAGTTGGACATATAGAGTTAATTTATTTTGATGCATTTTTCTAACAGTTGCAAGATATCCTATCATGTATATATAGCATACAATATATGTTAAGTAATTTTAAAGAATTTCCATAGTAACGGGAGTTTATTTTATTTTTGTGTTTTTAGTTTATATTAGGAAATAATGCAATTGTGCAAAAATATCTCTGAACAAATAGCCATATATTCTGGTGCTTGTGTCTTTGTAGGCTCAGTCCCTAGAAGTAGCTGTTGTTTGGTAAACAGGCATGTACTTTGAATTTCAATACACTGTGCTAACTTCCTTTCTGCAAGTTATAGCAGGCTCCTAGTCCATCAGCCGCTTATGAGGACTTTCTTTTCCTAACCCCTTTGCCAGTGTCGGAGTCTTCCGATCCTTTTGTTTGCCAACCTCTCGACAAGGAAATACCTTCTCATTGTTCTTCTGATTTGCATTTCCTTGACTATAACTGAGGTTGAGCGTCTTTCTGCACAAATATTGTTTTGATAATAAAATAGCTCCCATACCACGGGACTTTAACATGTTAATTTATGGAAGAGGCAGACATGTTTTGAGCACATACTCTGCCCTTGGAAGTAACTTGTCTGTCCTCAGTCACTCTCCAGTGAAGGTTATGAGTTTGGTTGTTTTTGATACATCTGCATATACCCTTTGCTGTTCTGCCACTCATGTCCCCAAAGGGTGTGGAGGGTTTTAGTTTCAGTGGATTTGATGATGATGGAGGTGGGTAGAAGATTCTGCCTTGTCTCTGACCGTCTCTGTCTTTTCATTTTCAGACACCACCCAGATGAACAATGCAGTACCCACCTCTCCCCTGCTCCAGCAGATGGGCCATCCACATTCGTACCCCAACCTGGGCCAGATCTCCAACCCCTATGAACAGCAGCCACCAGGCAAAGAGCTCAGCAAGTATGCCTCCTTGAAGGCAGTCGGTAAGGGCCTCTGCATGGATCCCTGTTTTTTTCTCCTTCCTCTTTTCTCTTTTTGGGTTCTCCTTTGAAACCTCTTTCCAATTTTTTTCATTCCTTTCTCTCTACCTCTCCGTTTATATTTTGCTTTTCTCTGCCTCTCATTTTCTCATTGTCCTATTTTCTTTCTTTCTTTTCTTTCTATCTATCTATCTATCTATCTATCTATCTATCTATCATCTAGGTTTCTTTACATGGGACCTAGATTATTGAGAACTCAAGTCCCTTAGCTGCTTTCTCTGACCCAGCTCAAGTACAAGGCAGTGTAGTTAGACAACAGACACATGTTGAGTAATATCTAGTACATTCTCTCTCTCTCTTTTTTTTTTGGTATCGGGGGGATCAAACTCAGGACCTTGTGCTTGTGAGGCAGGTGGTGGAACCACTGAGCTAAATCCCCGGGCCCATGTTGAGTACTATCTGTTTCCTGGGGAGGAGGATCTGGATGCTCATGTGGTCTCATTGACATTCAAACCCCTTTGGTATTTTCTATGTGCTCTAGTCAATTCTCAGGAGCCCAGACATGGAATCCAGGTCCCGGAAATGCCTTGCCTTCTAGTGGGTAGCACCCTTCACCTACACAGTCCATCCCATCTCTCAGAGGTTAGTAAGCAATGCACATTCCTATCCCAGGCAGCCTCTGATATTCAGGATGTAAATATTTTCTGGACTGGGCACTTGGAGCTACCATAAATTGAGTCGTTGCCAAGTGTGCAACACTGTGTTAGACCTTTATGCACATAGCCTCATTGATCCAAAGAGGAAGACACACATTGTCCCAATTGTTGGATTGGGAAACGGACTCAAAGAGGCTGATTTAACTTCCCCCAAATCAAACAGCGGTGGCTAACAGAGCTGACAATTAGACTTGAATTTTTATCACTCCAGAACTAAGCCTTCTATCACTGCCCTGGTTCTTTGTAGCCCATTCCCCACTCATACTTGAGGGAGGGTGACAGCAACCTGGACAATGACCAAGGCTTCTGCCTCCAGAAGACTTCCACTGGATGGGAGCAGTGGTCACACTAGTTAGTGATTCCTGATTTGTGATTGGTTGTGGCAACCTCTGGTTTCCCAAGCCAGTATCTCTTATTTGTGGATGTAAATTACTAGAATCACCTGAAAAATAGGTCAAATATACATGTGCTACAGCCCCACACTAGAGATTTTAACTGAACCCCTTGAGGATGGGATTCAAAAATGACCATTCTTACTAAACTTCTAGATGCTTCCAAAGTGAAGCCAGGGCTGAGAGCCATTGATTTAAACCACCCTGTCAGCCTGGCATGCAATAAAACCAAGGCCCATCTCAAGTGCTTGCTCTGAGCTCCGTCTTCCAAGTGCTTTGCAGGCGACCCAGAGCACTGGCACTACCTTGTGTCCATGATGCTTGTGGGCTATGAACATCAGCTTCATGAGGCAAGCATCCTGGTGCCCCACATTGGGCCAGGCACAGACTAGGTGATTAGAAGTCTATCTTTAGGAGCTCATGCTCCCCATCTCCTAGGACTTCCAGATGGAATCGCTGAAAGAGGGATTGAGCCAAATTTATAATAGCAAGGTCACAGGTTGTGCAGATGGACACAGGCTTTTGTAAATCTGGAGACTTGTGTGCCTTATCTACCAGTTACTCATGTTTCGTGCTTTATTTCCACACCCAACTCACCATGGCCCCAAACCACAGATTCCCTCTCTTCTATATTGCATATTTGCATCTTCTGTATTGCATACACAGCCTAAGCATGTTCCAATATATTTAGATATTACTGTGAAGGGATAAAAGCTGTTGCCTAGAAGAGCAAGAGTTGGGCATCTCCTCCGTGGTGTAACTGTGGAAGATGTCACCCACTTTCGGGGGCCTGCCTCCTTTTCCGAGCCCTGCCGTTCAGTGATAAATGGCACCTGCTGCTATATTTGCTTCCTGTTTAGCCATTTAAAAGTCAGCCCAGATGTCTTTTTCTTTCAGGACTGGTCACACGACCCTGTGCAACTCATTTCTTCTACTTAGGCTCAGAGTCTCCCCGCCTCAACACTCTCTACCTCTTTGGGTAAATAACAGCGAGATAGTCCAACAGGGCTCCTTTTTACTCTACAGGATCATACAAGGCTCTGTTAGATAACAAATATCTGTAAAGCATTTGAAATTAAATTTGCAATATGGGAATGTATTTGACACTCTTTGTGTAACGCTTCATTCCACACATCAGGGACTCCTGAGATGTTTATTGAATCAATGAATGAGCCTACCTTTGACATGAAGTAAAGAATAGCTTAGTTATAAGGAAGCATTCTTATATCTTCTAGAAAAGCAAAGCATCGCTCTTGTCCAAACCATCCTGGAAATGGCTAATGGAACTCTCTTCCTCTTTATCCTTCTTTCAAATAGACTGTAGGGTGTTTGGGGGCTTTAACCAAGCCACGGATGGCCTTGTGAGCCTCCAGCAAGCAGAGTGCCAGTTTTGAAGCAGGGTAAAGAGTGGCTTGACCCAGTGGTTACCCTAGAGTCCGGAATCAGCCTGCATCAGTGTACTGCAAATCCCATAATAAATGCTCTTTCGAGGGTTCTTTATTAAGCCCTAATGTGATCATGGAGTGAATGATGACATGCATTTCATTAGTGAAATCATTACCACCCAGGAGAAAAGTTGTTTAGAAAAATGTTTTGCTGTTGAAAGCCCTGCAACCTCTCATAACTAGACTCATTTCCTAAAAACTTTAAGGAGTAAGGGAGAATTAGACAGCCTCTAGGGTTAACTACTCAGTTCAAAAACTGCCTCTGGAAAATAAATTTCTCTGTACAATTTAATATCTAGGAACTGAGGTTTATAATCAGGAGCCCCATCTTGTCTCGGTCCCTGCCCTTAGCTGCATGACATTAGCCCAGGCCCTAAATACTTGGACCTCAACTTCTTCATGTGGAAAACAAGCCCAAATACATGGCCCTAAACCCATTCACATTTTAAAATTTAAAATTAAACAATTCCACTCATTGTAGTTACTGGAATACCCATGGATTGTTGCTTGTTTCCTGCCAATGCTGCAGGAAAAAAAAAACGGTTTTAGAAAGGGGTGCTATTCCCTGAGACAAATTCTCCCCAAACTCACTTTGTTTTATTTTATTACTTTTGGCTTGTTTGAGATCACCCTCACTTGTGCTTACAGAGGGTTCTTTTCTCTTTAACATTCAGGGAGTCTATAGCATGTGGCTGCAGCACGATCTCTGTTTTCATGGGGCTCACTGCTCAACTGGTGGTAAAAGATGAGCACACAGTAGGGAAATGTCCGGGCTAAACTGCATAGAACTCTGTATAAGAAGGGATGTTGAGGGTGAATTGTCATTCATTTATTCATTCATTCATTCTCCAAACATTGAATCTGGTATCCCATAGATTATAGGTCCCACTGAGGTATGGACCAGTTCTGTCCTGTTTGTCAGTGTATTCCTGGAATATAACCCCATTTGGGGGCACTTAGTAGGTGCTTCCATCCCTATCTGCAAAACCAGTGAACAGTACCACGTGGTAGGTACCACATCAGGTCGGGAGCCTGAAATGGTCAGGAAGCAGGTAGAAACATAGCATCACCTCTGAAATTGATCAGGACTGAGTTTAGTACCCAGCTAAGACATTGTCAAGGAATCGCAGAACTTACCTAGCCCTCATTCTCACTTTCGCTATCCGTAAAATGAAGATAATAATACTATGCAGCCAATAGCTTAGAAAAGTCAGTGACATAAGCAGGGAAAGTTCTTACCTTGGCATGCAGTAAATACTGAAGCGTATTAAACTCTCCAGATCACAGTCACATGTCGGTCATATTATTCCTCTAATTTTCAGGATGTACTGGTATATTAACATGCAGTGGCCCAGATTTCATTTTTGAGGGAGAAAGAATTAGATCTGTATTCTTCACTTCAGATTGAGAAAGACATAAATGGAAGTTGGCTCACCTTGGGGATCTGATCAAATAAGCAAGGGGAAAGAAAGCAAATTGCTTTCCTGAGAATCCCAGCACTCAGCAGAGTCAGCCCAGACCTCTTCACATTCCTCATCTATAGCCTGGACAACGAAGATCTAGATGTGTAACTGTTACAGTCCATCAAAGAAAGGTTTCATCTCACTCAATTGACTCTCCTTACGAAGACGGCAAGAGGGTTTAAACAGTTTGGAAACATTTTCCAACAAGACTGAAATTGAGAGGTGTGCCTTGTTGTAGACTGACCCAACATGTAACTGAAAGACTTGGTGAAGCACTCACATGCCCTGGCCTGTGCTACCCAGGTGATGAGTGGTTACAATGGGAGAGCCACCTATAGCACTTTAAAAGTCACTCCCCTTCCTTTCTATACCATGAGTTCATCTCCTTTCAGTGAGCATTTTCACCCAATAAATATCTGCCTAATGTCCACTACTGTCACCACGTACATAGTGGGCACTTAAGTCTGTGTTTGGTAGCACGTGTGCCATCTTATTAAGGACCCTTATTGCCAATGGATTTATGAAAGAAACTTGTTACTGCTTTGTCAGAGCTAAGCCCTGTTTTAGGTTCTAGGGACAGAGGTGACAAAGGAGTGGTTCCTGCCTTCAAGGCAAATAATGATGGGTTGATTTGGGAGTAGGATGATGTCCTTGGAGTCAGTGACTCAGGGGTTGGTCACTCTGTGTCCATCAGCACAGCAACATCTGGGGCCACATCACTATTTCCAGATGACCAGGGCTCCGAGGGAGAAGAAACATGGGGTCACCCCAGGCAGATCCCTCTTACTTTCGATCTCATCACTCTCCTCCTGCCACGCCAGTTTCCCCTCTGTTGGGAGTGATGAGGGTGTAGGGCGTAGGGCTCCCACCCACAGAGGGAATGGGGCAATTTGAATGTCCTTTGGCATGCCTGGGAGGCCAACCAGAAATGTTTAAATGGGGCCGGATCTGTGCTCCATAATCATTCAGATCACAGACTGTTCCCTGCATCTCCTCTCGGTTGGCAGCCTGAACCACCTCTGGAAATAGTGCAGACAGTGTTGAGGACTTGGTCTTCCCAGGGAGATTCCTAAGAAAGGAAAGGGGAGCTAGTAGGTAGGACTCACTGATTGGCCAGACCTCCAGGTAATGTGGAGGTAAAGTAACCTCCGCTTTAAATAAAACCCAGATTCACAGAGAAGGAACATCAAGGGAAGGGGGCAGTACAGATGTGTTCCTTCTCATCTTCCTTTATTTTATAAAACAGCCAACATGAAATTCTGTTAATAATATGAGATTCTCCCAGGGCTCATTCAGTACATCTGAAAGGGAATTCAATTTGGAGAAACTGGTTTATAACAAAAATTCCAGGCATACATCTGTTCTGTAAAGCAATGACTTACTCATTATGGGATTCTCAAATAACAAGCTTGATCCATTTAGTGTTTAGGGGAATTTCCATACTTTGGGAAGAGTGACCCTTTGGAGAAAATTGGATTCATGCATTCATTCAACAATAGTTTTCAGATATTAACTTCATGGTAGGCATGACGGTACCAAACTGTGTTCCACCCACCCAGCATTTTAAGTTGCGGCCAGGGGAATCTGTCCCAAACTTGAACTTGGAGCTTGGATTTGGAATAATATGCTGCCCAACCTTGGTGGTGGTGGTGGGGTTTGCAATAAAACAGGATCAAAATTTATCTCTTGTCATCAGAGTGTAATCAGAGTGACCCCATGTAACTCAAATAGTCCTCTTTTGTAGCAAATTGAAACTGTGAGCCAGATTTACTGCCTAAGAATTCTCTCACTACATTATATAATTGAAAATACTGGAGCATTTTCAGGGGGCTTCCTTTGATCTCCTGTTAGATATTAACACAGTTCTGCTTCCAGACCTTGCAGACAGAGGCAGATAGAGTTGCGTGTTCATACTCGGCTCCCCTGTGTTCCCTGGGTCCCCTGAGGGCTACCCCGGTTAGGGGCTGCAGCTGGGGCGGCAATAGTGCCCGGGTTTGAGGGCATCACAAATAGGGTGTGTCCTGCACACAGATCAGCATCTCTAAATTATTATTTTTTTAGGAAATTCTGATGGTGACTGGACAGTGGCGACACTTAAGTCACCAAAAGGTACCGTATGGCCTTTTCTGCCTCTTTTGTCCAGGTGTTGTCAAATTTAATATTAAATAATGAAGAAAGAGAGAGTCCCGGTGTCTGTATATGACCCAGTGCACATTTGTGTCTGCCTTAGGTGGCGTCTGCAAGTCTAAGTTCCAGTGTATAGGGGTGTGTGTGTGTGTGTGTGTGTACGTACGTGTGTACATGTGTATGTGGGCCTGAGTGTGGTCTGTCTATGCTCCGAGCAGTTGTTGAACAGTGCTACCCCTTGCTTTCCAATATTTGTTGCTTGAAGGAAAATTCTTCTATCAGAAAACATCCCAGGTAAGAAATCCAGGAATTTTTCCTTTTTTTTCTCAGAAAGCTACAAAAGCAAAATTTGATAACACAGGGTAAATTAATGTGTGTGGGGGGACAACTTCTGATGGAGAGGTAAATGCAATCAAGGTGTTGACTAATAGCTGGGGGAATGATTAGCCTTCTGAGGAACAGAATGCTACTTTTTACTTTCCTAGGCAGAGTGGTGAGGAGCAAGACAAGATGTTAGCAGACTTGAATCTGTAAGGTAACTAGCTGGACGATTAGGCCGAGTGGTAGCCATAATTAACTGCCTACTATGTGCCAGAGTTCTGGCCCTTCATATCCATTTTGTCACTTCATTCCCCAGTGATTTGACTGTGTAGGCATTGAGAGACAAGGTCACCAGGGCTGAAGAAGGGTAAGTTTCGCCTGTTCAGTCATGCAGCTAGCTGCTCAATGGTTGCTCTGCAATTTGAACTCATGACTGTCTACTAGCTAAGCTACTTTTCACTAGGGGCCGATGGGAGAAGCTCTTTTCTGGACAGACCAGAAACACTTCTGATTCTTCATTCCTTATGTTTTCCTGGGTTCAGTAATAGAAAGAAAACAGCTGACCCGAGGAGGTGGAGGTAGAGCTCGTGAATGACCTTGAGCTGAGAGAGTTTAGGAGACAAAGCTCAGCTCGAGGCAGGGTATTGGCATGGCCATTTTGCCTTCTCAGGGGAGCATTCTGTCTTTCAAGTGGAGAGTGATTAAGGAAAGTGGGCTGGAGTTGGGGGCACCCACTCAGAGGCTTTTGTAGGCAAGTGGAGACCTGCACTGGGCTGGGTAGGAAATGGAGTGGAGGGCTAACTTCGAGGCTGCAGAAGGTGTGAGTGAGGGGCGTGATGGGGAGGAGCGACCAGCAGACTCATGGTTTTCATACTTGAGCCACATGGGCACATGTTAGCATCACTTGGAGGTGGATTGTTAAAGACTAGATTTCCGGGCTCCACCCAGGAGCTTCTACTTCACTAGGCCTTGACGGGGGGGGACCAAGAATCGAGTTGCTGTGGGTTCCCAGAGTGATGCTGCTGCCGGTCTGGGGAGCACATAGTACTTTGAAAATCACTGCAGTAGAGAAATCATTCTGGGAGATTGAACCATTTTTTCTGCGGTTTACAGTTCTGAAGAAGGGAGATTGACTGGGGCCCTAGAGGCTCAGAAACACCTGGGTTCAGGGATGGGGGTTGGGTGGGAGGAAATAATGTCCCACAGTGGGAAAGAGAGCTTTAGAACCAAGTTTAATGAGAATCCCCTGACTACCCAGTTTCTGTCTATCTAGAGACAGATTTTTGGGTCTTGCATTAGATAATAATTGTTCACATGTCAAAGTCCATTTTTAGAAATGCAAACACAATTTGGAACATGACAGACCTACTAATTTGAGAGGCATAAATTTTTTTCCTCCCTTGTGAAAAACAAAGCCATTAGGATCCTGTGACAGCCTCTGAAGGCAGTCTGCATCCCTGTCCTTAGATTAGCCAGTTGTCTGATACATTTAGAAAATATTTCAGGACAGGTCAAAAGGAAAAAAAAAAAAAAGGTTTCGAAAGATATTTTCTATCCACGCTAGGCTAACTGCACTCGTCCAGCTAAATGCACCCTTATTTATTTTGCTTTGCCTGCAGAGGGGAAAAAGGGGTCCAGAGTAGGCCAGGCCCAATTTTCTTTGAGGTCATTGGTCTTTCTGTAGTGTTGTCTACTAACCTGCAGATGTTGAGACAAGATGAAGTATAGTAACAAAGTTGGAGGGTTTTGCATGGTCCTGCCACTTTCTTCAAGAGGAAGAAACAAGTTGGGTATGATGGGTTTAGGCTCAGATTCTTCTGTATTCTAATTCTGGCTTCATCATTTACTCGTCTTGTTACCTTTCACAAATTATTCACCCTCTCTGAGCCCCTATTTTCTGACCTGAAAAATGCAGACAATGATACCACTTACTCCTAGATGGTTGAGAAGATGAGATAATGTTTAACATATGTGTCGAAGTACATAGCAGAAGGAAAGTGGTAAGTGGATGCAGGTGATTATATAATTTTGGCATTACTATCAAGCCAGCAGAATCCCGTGACCTCCCTCACCCTCAATTCTCTGATAACAAAAACTGGTAAACTCCATTTAACTTATAATTTCCCAAGCATTTTGGATGTCAGATCTCTTTTCTCTTAAGGCACATCAGTTAACATCTTAATATACAGTGGCATAACTGTTGCTGGGGGCCCACTTTGTGAGCATCAAGCATAAACTAAGAAGTCGATGAGGAGAGGGTGTCCGTGGAGAGTTTGGATAAGAGAGGGTAGCTGTGAGGACCAAATCCTGCAGATGCAAGTTTCTTGATGGCACTTGCATTGACTGATTCACTTTTGAAGAGATCATGTCTTCCAGAACAGGACATGAAATTACACTCCTTTGCATTGTCTGATTTTCACTACTTTGGGCTTCCCATGCAAGTCGCCCCCTGGTGGTCACCGCTGTTGATCCACTTGTGCCCCGCGCTGGTAACTTCTGGGGTGTATGTTTAAAATCTACCAAGAGAAGACACCACTTCAAGCCCAGCAGATAGCCTTAATCAAGATGAAGCATGTCTTTTGGAATCTCTTTACTTTGCAAAATGAATTTGAACTTTCCAGAGCTACTCTGCAGCACTGAACTTGAGGAAATCTGTGATGCTCTGATTAAATTGCATGGAATCACCTCTGTACTCTTACCCAAGCCTCTTCCACGCTCTAAACTTCCATTTCTACAACTGTTGAAATACAGGCAGTCAGAATATCCACCCTCCACTGGGTTTGAGGAAGAAATTGGAGGAAATGTGAATAAACTTCTTAGCACAGGGCTTGGTATACAGTAGGTGCTAAATATGCATAAACGAGGTTAGTGCTCACACAATTTCCACACATCTCTGCTGCAGAGAGTATTCTTAATGACTGAGAAAGAGTCTTTCAGAAATAAATACACTGCACTCTGCTTTTCTACTGTTGTAGGTAAGGAAATTGGGACCCCCCGTGAGAGAGTGAGGTTGCCTAAGGCCACACAAGAAAATTACATTTCAACAGGACCAGGATTCAGCCCTCAAAGAAAGGCTGAAGGGCTTGACTCAGAATCTCTGGAGATGCAGGATACAAACATAAATCCTGAACCCATCCACTCCTAAGGACTTGGAACTTTTGAATAAGGGGCCCAGCATTTTCATTTTAAAATGTATCTCCTGTGTTATTCTTCTGTACACTACAGTTTGGACTTACCTTTTTTCTAAGACCCACACCTAAATGCCAACATAATTCGTCCTAGAGCCCAAATTCTCACAGAATCCAGACCAACAGGAATATTTTTGATGTTTGCTTAACTAAAACAGTTTTCTTAGAGGTCATTTGAACTGGGCCACAGCTGGAAAATAAGACCTTCAGAGGTAGACTGTCTTAGATTCGGCTTCTTGCTTTGTCACATGTTAGCAGTAACAGAATAACTTGGCAGCCAAATTATTCACAACACTGGGCCTTAATTCCTTCATCTGTTACATGGAGTCATGTTGCCTTGTTATCCTTCCGGAAGGGAATTTGAATGAGATCATGTAAGTAAAATAGCTGCAACAGTATCTGGCCCATAGTAGGTTCTCAACAGATCTTAGCTTTCTTTCTCCTAAGCAAATTGATGAAGCCCAGTGAGAATCGTTCATCCAAGAGACTATGGGAAGCACAAGGCAATAGAAAGTGTGTAATTGGGTTACAGTTCCATCGGAGTGCACACATCCGATAGACCATCCTGGGGGAATGCTCACCTAGAGGCTGCTTCAGAACATCACTTGTGAAATTCTGACCTTTGCAATTTCCTTATTTGGGTTATTGGTGTGGTAGCGAGCAGTAGGATACAGAGTAGGGGGAGGATAGAAGGTGATACGAGGTGATGTTTTTTAATGAAAATCAAATCCCACCTGCTCTTGTTCAGCTCCTTTGAAAAGCACATGACAAGCACTGGAGCTTTCATGGGCATCCTTGCAAACCCATAGGGCATGAAATGAGCTGGTGGAGAAGGTTCTCTGGTTTTCAGAAAATGCCATTGCCTCAAGATTGCAGTAAATATTTTGCTGGTTTGAAAGCATGTCCCTTTGAGCAGAAGCCCTCTAGAGCCATTTATTCCAAAGCTACCTTTCTGGTTGCCCACAGCACATACTAGGTGCTTAACATTCATTGAATTAATAAATTATTAAATGAAGCTGGGGATGCCATTTGAAGTAAATCTTGTCTTTTCTAAAGAAGGACTGAAAAATAGAAAATCAGCCGGGTGGGAGTAAGTTGACCTACAGTATATTCTAGACACAATGCTACTTCCACACTTGTGGTTATATATTTGGATGTCCTGGAACTTGAGCTAATATGGCCTATATAAAATGGAAAGTTTGGGATATTTGTCATTTTAGTCCCAGTATTTCCATAAAGATTCCAGCTTATTCTCTGATTGGCTTGCCCTGTCATATGCCAACCTCTGAACAAATTGTGACAGTGAAAGCATCAAATGGGCTGTTTGTAGTCCCTGGGGAGAAAGAGAGAAGTATAGTATGTCATCTAAACCACCTGGGTTAAGAAAAGGGGGAAAGTGAATCCCACCTGAAAATTGAGTACTCCTCCCAGAAGTAGGGTGAATGAATTATTTGTATTTTTGTCAGTTATCTA